TTCTTGCTCTGTTTGAAAAGCACTCTCTATCTCTGGCAGACTCTAAGCTACGTGAAAGCAAGGATTCTAATTAATTTGTGCATCCCTAGGCCCTTATCTATGACAGACATACTGTGAAAATATCACCACCACTACCAAAGTTTCTTGAATGATAAGCAGAGAGTGTAGGAAAAAAAAAATTTCCAAGACACACTTTTAGGGCATGGAGTGGCCACTCTGTTCATCGCAATAAGCTGTCCTAACTAGATGCCATGGTGGTGTTGTTATATAGACTTTGTGTTCTCACTTGCCACAGTTGAGAAGCCATGTGTGTCTACCAATCAGACCATACTCGTTTTTGGAGAAATTCCAGTTATACAAAACTGTGATTCAGTTCCCTTGACACTTTTATTGACGATGCTGTTAAATAGTTCTGTTTTTTTGTTCCCCCAAGAGGAAATGGTTTGTTAATGAGTCATCTGGACATTGTCGAGGCAGGCAAGGGTATAAGTCAGACAGTTTCCATCTGATTTCATTCATCCACTTAGTCAAAATTTATTATAAAGCATCAAGCAAAAGGCATACATCTATTCCTAAATTCATAAGGTTGACAGTTTCAGGGATCTTTGTCTACTTTATTTCACTTCATTAATTCAACAAGATTTACTATGAAACAGATTTCATGCTAAGCAAGTGTAATATGAAGATAAATGAAATGTAATCCCAACCCTCAAAAAGTTCAAAGTTGTGGACAAGTATGGAAATATAACTGCAATGCAATAAGAAAATAGCTAAAGGGCTGAGGGTGAAGCTCAGTGGTAGAACACTTGCTTAGTATGCACAAGTCCTGGGTTTGATTTTCAGTGCCACAAAAAAAAAAAGTTCAGGGTCACACATACTAGCATCTTATAGAAAAGAGCAGTTGGCACTTGACTACAACTAAGAAAGGAACTAAAACAGAGGTATTTGCAAAGTGGCATGAGATTCAAAGAAACACAGACCATGTCAAGATGAGGACATTTGGTATAAGCTTCATAAAGGACAGGAAATGTAAATTGAGTTTTGAAGAACAGGAAAGGGATAAATTATATTCCAAGAAGAAAGAAAAATATGTACAAAAGTTTAGAGTTAAAAGAAGCAAAGCTAAAACAACAGAAAACTGAAGCTTAACGAGGATAAGTAACTTCTCCAAGTTCAGTTGAGAGCTGAACCCAAGTTGAAGTTATTTATAGAAGTGTCATATTTCTTGACTGTTGAAGCAGAAAAAAAGGTTGCGAACCACTGCTTAGGGCCTGGCATATAAGTTATAGAAACTCAGACCACATTTCATAGGCAAAGGGAAGCAAGATTTCTAAGCAGAGAAGCAACATGGTCCCATTTGGGCTTTACAAGTGAATTCTAGCACTGATTCTCAAGCTTACCGCAACTACAATCACTTGAGAAACTTTTCAGTGATCAGGAAGCCATCCTAGAACAATTAAACCAGAATTTTGGGGAGTAATACTCACTTTTATTTCATTTTTTAAGTTCTTAGGGGTATTTTAATGCCTAGTTAGAGTCAAGGACTTATCACTCCAAGAATATAGACTAAAAGAAGGAAAGGACTCATATTTGACAAGTACCTACTATGTTTAATATTTTGTTCTAAATGTTTTATATAGTAACTACAATCTATAGAGACATATTAAAAAGCAAATATTATATATAATAGATCCAAAATGGAAAAAGAAAAAAAAATATATATACACCTTGATTCATCTCAACCATTTTCTATGGTGTGTGGTAAATAATGACATATAATTCTACAATTCCTGTTCTACCTACAAGAAATCTAAGGTACAGACTGGTGAAATGACTCATCAAAGATTATCAAATTATTGAATGACACAAGTGAATTCAATGTAAGTCTTTCTGACACCCAAAACTCATGCTCCTACCACTATATATTATAGCCCATGACCCTCACTTAATCCTCACATTTCCAAAGAAGATATCATAGTCCTATTCTACAAATGAGAAAATTAGTTCCTAAAAGGTTAAATTTGGCCTAACAGGTAGAAAGGCTGGGATTTAAACTCAATCTAGTTCCAAGCCCATGCTTACGAAGGTAAAGAAAATAGCATATATTCAATGTAATTCTTGCCTCTGAAAGGAAAGAAGCAAGTTGGGTCATTTCTATAATGCAGAATATTATTCCTAATAAGAACAGCCATCCATAGGGGTTTCCCTTCCCTTCTCAGGTCCTCAGAAGCTAAACCTTTATTGAATTATCAATCCCAGGTGACTTTTACTGGAAGGTGAAAGAGACGGGCAACTTTTGCCATAAACCTCCATCATATTTACCTGGTCAAACTTTAACCCTTGCTAAGTCCTACACTACAAACTTCTTCACACCTTTACCCAAGCAGCTGAAAAATGCTGATTTTTCTCTTTTTAAAGTAATTGTCCCAAACTTCAAACAGGCATTAATTACCCAGAAATATTACTGCCTTTGCCCAGAAAGTTCATTTTCCCACTCAGAAAATTATTTCACATTCTTCTCTCCTCAACCTTCTAATTACCCCTGACAAAATCCCCTCCCACTGAAATTCCATAATTTTCCTTTCTCTGTTGCATCAATAATTTCTACCTTTCCACTGGCTCATTTACAAACATCCCCTAACACCCATATTTAAAAATATCAAAAATGAAAAGCAGAAACCTCCTTTAAATTCACATGTGTCTCTCACTACGACCCCACTTCTCTGCTTCCATTTCACCTAGAACTTTGGAAAGACTTGGTTTCATCATGGTCTCTACATCCCTATTTTCATCACATAATCATCTCCATCTTCAACAATATCAAAGCCGGTAATATCGGGGTACTCATGACCTCCATGTTGCCAAACGCAGTGATCCCCTCTTTGTTCTCAGCAGCCTTTGAAACTGCTGATAATTACCTTTTTGAAACTTTGTTCAGGCTTTGGTGACACCACACTCATGGTCTTCCTACTTCACTGGTTGTTTCCTACCTCACTTACTTCTCAGGATGTTGTATTTTAGGAAATCTCTTCCTCTACCTGATCTCTAAATGTTAAGAGTACCGTAAGGGTCAGCCCTGGGTCCCCTTATTTTCTCTATACACACATTCTAAGCGACCATATTCATGCCCGTGCTTTTGGATATGGGTTTGTCACTAATTGTACAGGGGTTGGGTTCTAAAGTCAGTTCATAAGGAAAAATCCTATGAAGTTGATTTTTTTTAAGTCTTTAAACTGTAGTTGTTGCTTCATACATGCTTAATATATATATGATACACATATTATATATACACATATATATACATATATTATTTATATATGACTGTGGTCATACTTATGTGCCAAATTGAAGATCAATACTCTTTTTCCTAATAAGCCCAAACAACTGACTTTTTCACTCCATATTCAGACAACTTGTTTTTTACTGAGCAACAGATGAAACACTTAGAAAACTTCTACGTTTTAGGAGTAGATACTTGGAACAGCAAGATATTCCCAGTATAGGAGGGAATCAGGGACTGAATCCATCTAAGGAAACAAATTCACATTCCCATCTCATGCTCACTGCACACTTGCTCTCCTTGGGTGTAAAGGAATCACCCACATTATTTAAAGTATTTCTCACTCTCCTTGTTAAAAATATATGCATCTATACATACACATATAATAATCTGAATTTTAAGAGGTTGAATGCTTGTACATATGACTCCATTATATCATTTATATGTTGATGACAGTCAAATTTATTTCTCTAGCCTTGACCTTTTTCCTGAGCTTCATACTCCTTGAGCCAACTACCTACTTGGATATGTCCACTTAAAGTCAACTAGGCATCATAATGTGTGTAAAACATAACAATTCTATCCTCCATGTCTCATCCTGGGCACTCTACCACTTGAGCTATGCCCCCAGCTTTCTTAGTCTTTCTTATCTCAGTAAAATGGCATGCCATCAACTCAGCCAAAAAACTTAGGAGTGAACTCTGATTCCTGCCTTTCCCTCACTTCTGCACAAAATCCATCGCATTAAATTCTACCACCAAACTATATCCCAAATCTTTCCATTTACAAATACCAACCCAGACTGAGCCACAGTCCTCAGTTTTACTTTGACTTGTCTCTGTTTCCACGGCTTAACCTTTCTATGGCCCATTCTCCAAATAGCCAGAGCAACCTTTTCTGAAACATTCAATCATTCATTCGTCAAAGAGTGCAAAAGTAGGAATAGGACAGTGAAACAAAGTAGATTGCCATGATTATGGATGTACATTTGAGAAGAGAGGTAATACAGAAATTAAAATTTTTTGTATACTGCAAATGCAATGAGTAAAACAAATATAAAATGATAAACTAAGTCATGTTTCTCTTTATATAAACATTTTGAACATTTTCCTAGCATGTTTAGATTAAAATCCAAATGCCTTACCATGCCTTTGTTACAACATTCTGGTTTGTTTGTCCCTCCAACTTTTATCTGTACTACTCTTCCTCACCACAGCTTGACTCCAGTCACCTTGTCCTGGCCTCTCTCCTTTTGGTAGTGCTGGGCATCGAACCCTTTACTCCCCGAATGTTCCAAATCTTTTCCCTTCTTCAGGTTCCTGTTTCTTCCAGATCTTGGAAAGGCTGCCGCTTCTCAAGTCAAGTATCATTACTTTAGAGTGAACCTGGCTAATCTAGCTAAAAGTAGCCCCCACCCACTTCTCTATCAATTACACCTTTTTATTTGCTTCACAGCACTTCAAACTTTGGGAAATTAGTTTGTTAATTTGTTAACAAACATGTCCCTGCTAACATGTAGGCTAACATGTAGGCTTCCTTAAAAGAGGAATCTTGGCGTGTCGTTCACCAAACTATCCCTAAAAGCTGAGAGTAGTTCCTGGCAAAAGAAGATACTGATTACTTTCAAAGACACTTGGCAAAAACAGACTACAACACAAAACACCAGCCAAGCGTCGGAACACAGCGAGGCCCCACCTCCTGGAGCCACTTCCGCCGGGGAGAGGAAGTCGTCTGCGCAGGCGCCGCGAGGCCGCGGAGCTTTCTGGGTAGAGATGGACGTCCACGATCTTTTTCGCCGGCTTGGCGCGGGGGCCAAGTTCGACGTGAATCGCTTCTCCGCGGATGCAGCTCGATTCCAGGTACTGTGCGCGAGGCCCGAGTAACCGGAAAGAAGCAGGAACCCGGAAAAGAACCGGCTGCGGACGGGACAGCCGCGCTCCTGGAGACCCTGTTGCCCGGCTCTGACCTCTCTTGGGGTGTTTTCCTTCCTTTTGGGTTCACTTTACCCGCAGACCTATCGAGCTGAAGACTTTTCTGAACGACTCTTTTTAGAGTTCTCGGTAGACTTATTGAGCACGCACACTCTTTCTCCTCTTTATTCAAAGCAGAGTTGGAATCCTTTTGAAAACAGCAATGCAGACAACAGATCATTTCACTGTATTCTACCTAGGTCCAAGTTTGACTTGATGTGAAGACAGCTGTATCGCATGGACATGGTTTTTTTTCAAACTTTTTTTTTGGTGGTACTGGGGTTTGAACTCAGGGGCAAGGCAGCCCACTGCCTTGAGCCATTCCGCCAGCCCAACATGACATAGTTCATTTTATTGCTTTAACAGGCAAATTATGTTAAATGACCGATGAGAAGAGCGGTTTAGAAACGTGAGATCTTTTAACAGGGAAGTAGTGAGAACGGAGAGAAGTCAGTTGGGGCTCAGTTGTGCAATTTTTGGCTGTGCTAGGGTTTGAACTCAGGGCCATTGGCTTGTTAGGCAAATGCTCTATCACTTGAGCCATGCCACCAGTTCTTTTTTGTTTTAGTTATTTTGCAGCTAGGTGTCTGTTTTGTCTGGGGTCAGCCTCGGATCATACTCCTTCCACGTGGCTGGAATGACAGCTGTGCGCCGCCATGACCTGCTCAATTGTGGAAAATCTTAAAAGCCAGCCTTGCTGTAAGGAAGTAGAGACTTGGAGTGAGGGGGATTGTTATGTGTGTATTTCTTCTTTCTGACTGTAGTTTAATGTAGCAGGTGAGTTTGAACTATGGAGCCAAATTTTCTGATCCTAATGTTCTTTCCGTGTGTTAATAGTTTAGCGGCCTTGTCAGGTTACTTAACATCTTAACTTTGCCTCTGTTTTCTCACCTGTAATGTTACTGTTTACCTTGTAGGGTTGCTCTAAGGAGGAAGTAATTTAATATGCATAAACATACTTAGAAATCTGCTTAACTGGGGTGGTGGAGTGACTCGTGGTAGAGCACCTGCCTAGCAAATACATAGGCCCTGAGTTCAAACCCCAGTACTGGCAAAAAGAAAAAGAAATCTGCTCAACATGTAGTAAGTGTATATAAGCTTTCTTTGCTATTATTATTATTATTGTTGCTGTTATAAGATCAGAAAAGTTGTCTTTGGATTCCATTTGCCCAAGCACACTTGTCAGCTCAACAAATATTTGGTGAAAGGGTTAAAAAAAGTGGAGTCATTGGCCCCATATTCTACTGTCAGTCTTGCTTGGATGAAAGCAATGCTAGTCTGTCTGTAAATTTCACTTAAAGTTTTTTGGGTTTTAGGTAGGAAAAAGGAAATATGACTTTGATTCTTCAGAGGTGCTCCGGGGACTGGACTTCTTTGGAAACAAGAAGTCTATCTCATGTGAGTGTGGAGCATCACAAACAGACCAGAAGCTCCAAAATGAAGAGAAAAAAGAAGAGAACCTAATTGAAAGGAAGAGGGAGACAAACAAGAAAAAGAGAAAGAAGATGGTTTCAGGTTAGTGTTGGATTTCTGTGTTTTTTTCTATTTAGCTTTTTTTCAATTACAAAAATAATGCAAGCTTATAAGTCATTCTTCAGTTGATGACATTCAAGCTGTTTCTAGGTACTTGCCATTTCAAATGTTGCTACAATAAATGTTGTTACATACATTGTTTTGTACAGGTGGTGTTCCTTCTGTAGCATGGCATCTTAAAAGTGGAAGCACTTAGTGAAAGGTTATGAGATTTCCTTTGAACAGCTGCCACAAAATTGCTTCCCACACTTTTGTCAGTGCTGGATATTATTGGCCTTAAATTTTTTGTGAATCAAACTTGCAGTTTATTGCATGTTGGTTATGTCTCAGTGAAGTTGAAAAAACTTGGGATTTTTTTTTTTGTTTTTAATTATATTAGAACTATTTGGTCATTGCTTTTAGAATTATTTAAGTTATGCTTTTTTTGTAGTACTGGGGTTTGAACTCAGGACTTCATGCTTGCTAGCCAAGTGCTCTACCACTTGAGCCATGCCTCCAGCCCATAGGCTATTCTTATGTATTTGTTCTCCCATGTAAATATTAAAGTCAGCTAGTATAGTCACCAAAACATTGCTATCTACTTTTAATAGAACTAGTATTATTATAGAAACAGGGAGAATTGCTATCTTTACAATATTGAGTGGCCCTAAGTATTGTGTTGTGCTTATTGCTATTACAAGTGAAATCTTTCATCACACTTACTTTCCAGGTTGGAGGTTTAAAGAAGCTGGCTGCCTTATTGGTTTTTTTTTTTTGTTTTTTTTGTGATACTGGAGCTTGAACTCAGGGCCTTCACTTTGAGCTACTTCACCAGCGCTATTTTTGTGATGGGTTTTTTTTCAAGATAAGGTCTTGCAGAACTTTTCCTGGGCTGGCTTCGAATCACCATCCTCCTGATCTCTGCCTCTTGAGTAGCTAGGATTATAGCCATGAGCCACTGTCACCCAGCTTATGTAGCTTTTCAGTTAATGCATTATTTTCAAGAATACAATCGTGTACATAGTATGGAGCTGAAACAGCCAATAAAGGGAAAAGAGTGAGCTTCAGAGCTCTGATTATATATCAAAAGAACAAAGCTTGCTGATTCCCAACCTTTCACATCTTATTAGTTTCTCCTCCCTAGTTGCATCAGCTACTGCATTTTTTTTTTTTTTTTAAGTGTGAACGTCTGGCCTGTTTGCTACACCAATACTGTCACGCTAAAATCTTTTAATTTTTAAATAATATTTTCTAGAAAATCCTTTTCAAGATGAAGCTACTACTATACAGTGGATATCATCTGTGGAAGCAAAGATTGAAGATAAAAAAGTTAAAGAAGAAAATAAACTAAATTCAGAAAAGTTGGAAGAGCTCAGAAAGGAAAAGGTTAGAAAAATGTCTTAGTCCTCAAAAGTATGCTTTTCGGGGTTAGTAACGTTTCCACTGGTCTTGGGTTACTGTTAGTAAAGTGAATATGGTGGTTTTTTTGTGTGTGTTTTTATTATTTTTTTAATTTTATTTTTATTTCCTTTATTCATATGTGCATACAATGATTGGGTCATTACTCCCCTTTTCTCCCCTCTCCCTCCCTTTCCCCCAACCCCCTTACAGTTTTGTTAAGATAGAAAAATCATTTGTTAGGTTTTACCTTAATGTGACTGAAAAGCTTAAATAAAGTTTGAAAGTTGAAAGTTATAATTGAAGATAGGTGGATGCTTGTGCATGTGTGTAACAATTCTTGACCTGTTTAAGTTTCACGATTAACAGTATGTTTGGTATTTATTTATTTTGCAGTTCCGGGATGGAACCCAGGTTTCATGCATGTTAGGCAAGTGCTCTACCATTAAAGCTACATCATCAGCCTTTGTATTTTTTTTCATATTTTGAGACACGGTCTTAGGTTGTCCAGTCTGAACTTGAACTTCCTCTCCTTCTGCGTCAGTCTCCAGAGTAACTGGGTTTACAGGCCTGTGCCACTATGCCTGGCATAGATTTCTTAACCCCCTTTGATAAATACAAAATCTGCTTTCCTTTCTTTTCTATGTTGAGATCAATGGTTTTAAAGGATTTTCTCTGACAGGATTAAAGGGTTGGAATTCTTAAGAAACCTATTTTATAACTTGTAGATGAAGGGAGTAAATAAAGAAGAAACAACAGCTATGTCATTGTCATGTACACTTCCATGCTGCTGATGGGGTTGTATATACAAGGATTACTGCAGAATTTGGCTCTCTCTGGGTCAGCGCATAAGGGAAGAAACCAAATCAGTACCACTAAACTCCAATTTTGGCACTCAGTTTTAATAAGTAGAGGTTTTTAAAAGCAATTTATTAAAAAGCATTGGCAGTTGCATCTGGGCATGGTGGTACATACCTGTAATTTCTAGCAACTTGGGATGTCCAGGCAAGAGGATCACATTTGAGGCCAGCCAAGGCAAAAGTTAACAAGACCCTACCTCAGAAGCATGTCAGGCTTGCTTTTGGTGGTGCACACCTGTAATCCTAGCTACAGGAACTAGACATAGGAGGATTGTGGTTCTAAGCCAGCCTGCTCAAAGTTAGTGGGAAACCCTATCTGGAAAAACAAAAACTAAAAAAACAGAAGTACTGGGGGCATGGCTCAAATGGTAGAGTGCTTGTCTAACAAGCAGAATGCCCTTAGTTTAATCCCTAGTACTGAAAAAGAAAAGAAAATAGATGGATATAGTGCCTACCTTATGGAAGTTTACATAAGATTGTAAATTTTGACTATGACAGTAACATGTTAGCATGAATGACACATCACTCATGGCAGTGATGCATTAATATGAAAAAAGCATAGATAGATAGGTTTTATTGTAATGAAAGCCTTCTGTCTATGAAAAGGCATGAAATATACTTAATATCTGTGTTGATTGGGGGGCTTAATTTAACCAAAAAGTTTGATAAGCCACTAAAACTTATTTCAGAAACTGTTTTACAACATTTGAGAATGTATTTATTTGACCATATCTTTGATGGCCCCTTTGCTTCACTTTTCAGTTAAATTTCTTCAGGAATAAATACAAAATTCACGTTCAAGGAACTGATCTTCCTGACCCAATTGCTACATTTCAGCAACTTGACTGGGAATATAAAATTAATTCTCGACTGCTTCAGAACATTCTAGACTCGGGCTTCCAAATGCCTACACCAATCCAAATGCAAGCCATTCCAGTTATGCTGCATGTGAGTACAAAGGTCTAGAGTGCCTTCCTCTGTGTGTGTTCATTCTCTTCCCTCTCTCCTTAAAATTCTCCTTTCTACCTCACCTTTATTAACACCTTTCCCTTAACCCCCAGTTCTCCATGGTTTCTAGTGTGTGCTTTTTTTTTTCTGTTTTTAAATTATATTACTGTACTGGGGGTACGTTGTGACATTTACAAAGGTTCTTACAATATATTGTATTTGAATTTACCTCCTCCATCATTCTCCTTTATCCTCCTCTCCCCCAGTTCTTTTCTTGCTTGCAACATTTAAGCCCTCAGAGCATGGTGTTATATTTGTCTTTTCATTGTTGATTTCATTTATATTGCTCAGAAGCTATTTTAGAAATACAAATGCTTTCCAAAATTCTTATATAAAAACAACTTTCCCAATACTTTTTATTATTGAGGTATACTTTACATACAGTAAAATGTATAGATTTTAAGCACAGTTTAATGAGTTTCAAGAATGCATAACCTTGTAACCACCATTCCAATAAAGATACTGAACATTTTTATCACCCCAGAAAATTCTACTGTGCACTTTCCATTCTGTCATTAACCCATCTCTGCCAGAGGCAGAGATCACTGTTCTGATTTCTTTCCTCTTTCTTTTTTTTTTTTTGTGATGGTATTAGGGTTTAAACTCAGGACCTCAAGTTTATGAGGCGGCAGACACTCTATCACTTGAGTTAACACTTTTCATTTTCTTTGAGAACTGAAATGAGAATACATTTGAATTACATTGTTGACTCACATCTTAGTAAATTTACATTTAATTTCCATTTAAGATTGGTTCTAGCCAGATGTAGTGGTATATGCCTGTGGTGACGCTCACCTGTAATCCAGCGCTCAGGAGGCAGAGGCAGCAGGACAGAAGCATTGCCACAAGTTTGAGGGGAGCCTAGTCTACATAGTGAGTTCCAAGCCAGCCTCGTCTACATAGTGAGACCCTATCTCTACTAAAAAAAAAAAATACCCAGACCAAAAAAAAAGATTGTTTCTATCATGACTTTAGCTTAAAACTTAGTGACCTTTTTGAAATTGTCACCTATAAATTGCTGTTGCTTAGGTCATTACCACTTTTTATTTCTAACCTTTAGTCGTTCTCTTGTTTCACAAAATCTTCCCGAGGGGTTGAATAGTATAAGTATCAGGATAAAAAGGTGATTGCATAATTTTGCTTTTCTAAAAGTCTCATAGGAAAGAAAAATTGAAATAGTGAGTATAACACTCTGGTTTTTAGAAAAATTGAAATAGTGAGTTTTAATACTGCTTGAATTTTAGTTCACTATATTGTTTACCCATCCACTTGGACATCAGCAAGAATGCTCAGAAACTGTTGGCAGTGGTGGAAAGGATGATGGTGTTAAAAAAGCAAATATGATAAAAGTTAGAAAAGTAGATAGGACTTGAACGACTGGATTCAGTATGTTTAATTTTATTTATTGTTTCTGTGGCTAATAGCATTATCTGATAAGGCTCTGAAAAGTTTTTGTACTTGTTATACTTTATGTTTTTAGGGTCGGGAACTTTTGGCTTCTGCTCCTACAGGATCTGGGAAAACTTTAGCTTTTAGCATTCCCATTTTAATGCAGCTGAAACAACCCACAAATAAAGGTTTCAGAGCCTTGATTATATCTCCAACACGAGAACTTGCCAACCAGGTATGAATTCTAGCTTTTGAAAAAGTGTTCTTTGTGTTTGCTTCAGTAATCTTTCTTATTTGAAGTTAATAAAAACAATCTCAAAGGAATGTCTTCTGTCACAGTCATATATTCTGCACAGAATGTTGTATTACTGAATATGGGCCAATCTTGTAAGTCTTTCTGTAATTTTCTAAAATATGATTTTAACATTTATACTTCTTTGGTGAATGCTTTAAGATTTTTGAAGTTGAAAGGCTATTGTGATATATTCCTCTCTAAAATTCACTTCTTCTCACTTGGAGAAATGAATGAAACCTTATCTCAGTTTTTGAGAAATTCATGGGTTAGTAATAGATTTCTTAATAATGTTAAAGAAGCTACACATCCTACCCTAGCATCTTAACAGCTCATGTTTTTATCATTTTCTTTTTAGATTCACCGAGAGTTAATTAAAATCTCCGAGGGAACAGGATTCAGGATACACATGATCAACAAAGCAGCAGTGGCATCCAAGAAATTCGGATCTAAGTCATCTAAGAAGTTTGGTAAGAATTTCATGTTTGGGGTATAGAGCATGTAAGAGATTTGGAAATTATAATTATCCTAATTATCATATAAAAGTTAATTAAAGTGTAAGTGGTGTGTGTGTGTATGTGTGTGTGTATATATATATATATGTATATATATAAATAGTTTTATTTTTAAAGAAACTAAAGAGATCCCCACCCTATTCCACCCAGTAGCTATATGACTATACACCAGTGGTGAGATAATTATTTCCATCACCCACAACCACACGGACATTGGGCATTATCTGGAGACACTTTTAAACTGTGGCAATGGGTCAGGGCCAGGGAAACCATTAAACATCATACAATGTCTAACACAGTTCCTCCCCCAAAAAAATGTCAGCAGTGCTGAATTGGAGAACTCTTGCTATATACCATAGACTGTTTTTTGGAGGAGGCAGGACTAGGGTTTGAACTTAGGGCTTTGTTCAGGCACTCTACCACTTGAACCACACCTTCATTCTATTTTGCTCTGGTTATTTTGGAGATGGGGGTGAAATATTTGACTGCGCTGGCCTCACACCTCAGTCCTCCCCATCTCAGCCTCCCAAGTAGCTAGGATTACAGAAGTGAGCCAGTGGCACCCGGCGTGCTCTGTACCCAGCTAATTGATTTTTAATCTACCATGGAAATACTCTGGCAGATAAAAATTAATCACTTCTCTCCCCTTACATTAGCCAGAGAATCTGCTTTTATCTTGAGCCTCTGAATAAAATTTCATTTAAAGAAAGGATTTACCTGGGGGGGAAAAAGGCTTGAAAATCAAATTGTTGGATTATATAGTGTTGTGTCTTAGAAATTAAGAAGACTGCATAAGGGCTGATAGAGAGGCTCAAGTGGTAAGCATGCTTGCATGGCAAGTGTGAGGTTCTGAGTTCAAACCTCAGTGCTATTTAAAAAAAAAAAAAAAGAAAAAATACTGCTTAAAAATGAGAAAGTAGGAATATACTAGTTTATGCTATGATTGGAAAAAAATATGTGTTTTGGGTTACTAATTAGCAAGAACTTTTGTGTTTTTTCCCCTTCCCACTTAAGATTATTAACTGGAATTCAAGAGACTTAATTCCCTAGTTCAAGAGTGTTGCATCTTTTTTTTGCAATTTACCATTTGTTTCTCTTACAGATATTCTTGTGACTACTCCAAATCGACTGATCTATTTATTAAAACAAGATCCACCAGGGATAGACCTAACAAGGTACAGTAATAGTTGAACATCTTTCATGTGTGTTTTTAATTAGTGGTTGTATTTTGTTCTTAATTGCTTTCATTGCCCTTTGGAGCATGCTATCTGCCAACTTAAGTCAGTGTTGGTGTCGAGAATAACAGTATTCATTAAACTTAGAAAAAAATAACTGGTCTGTAAAATTACACATTTTTAAGATGTTTTATTCATTTTTATTTTATTATTTTTGGTGGTACTGGGGTTTGAACTCAGGGTCTTGTGCTTGCTTGACATGTGCTCTACCACTTGAGCCACATGCCCAGTCCTTTAAAATTACATGTTTTGATAAGCCGTTGGTTCATAATTCCCCTAGACCTTTTAAAGTCTTTTGGCAAAGATGATGAAATTCAAGAGGTTTATGTGAAGTTGTGTTGTTAATGCAACCTTATCTTTGAAGCTAATAGAATAGGTGATTGAATTATGTTCATCTTGTTTTTATCTTGCTTATGCTTATTTTTCTTACATGTTTTTCTGGTATGATAAAATGTATGAAGTTTAGGTGATGTCTCTGGGATCTTCTAGTTCACTATCCACAAATTGTTTTCTTATTTCTAGTGTTGAGTGGCTGGTAGTAGACGAATCAGACAAACTATTTGAGGATGGCAAAACTGGGTTTAGAGACCAGCTGGCTTCCATTTTCCTGGCCTGCACATCCCACAAGATCAGAAGAGCTATGTTCAGTGCAACTTTTGCATATGATGTTGAGCAGTGGTGCAAACTCAACCTAGACAATGTCATCACTGTATCCATTGGAGCAAGGTAATTAATTGTTCTTCCACATCATCCCACTGGTTTGTTTTCTTACCACAGGTGATTTCTTTAGAGTCAAGAAAGAAGACAGTTTGGTATGAGACTATAACAAGGGAGAGTGTTTTTACTGATAGAAAAGCATTTTTTTAAGTGAAGATTAAGTTTTCTGTTTTAGCATAACCTGAAGGGAGATTCTTGTGGATGGCTTTTACCCACCTACAAAGTATGATTGAGCTCTGTGTTCATTCAGGATTTAGTTCCTTTCATAGTTTATTTAAGTATGCTCACCTGGAGAAACCTGATCTTACTGAGCCACTTATTTATTTATTTATTTATTTGCAGTACTAGATTTGAACTCAGGGCCTCATGCTTACTAGGCAGGCATTCTACTACTTGAGCCTTTTTGCTTTAATTATTTTTCAAATAAGTCCTGGTATTTTTGCCCAAGCTAGACTGGACCACCATCTCCTACTTATTTCTTCCTCATAGTTGGGACGATAGCCACATTTTACCATGCCCAACTTCTTGGATGAGATAGGGTACTAGCTAACTTTTTGCCCAGGCCGACCTCAAACCTTAGTCCTTCTGATTATTGCCTCCCGAGTAGCGGTGATTATAGGCATGAGCCACACGGCCTGGCTTATAATTCCTTTTTTAAAGTACTTTGGTAGGGGCTGAGAATGTATTTCAGTGATAGAATTCTTGCCTAGCATGTGCCAGACCCTGGATTCGATCCCAGTGCCACTAAAAACAAAAACCAAAACAAAACAAACAAAAAGATAACAGTGAGCATTTTATACTAGATAAATGTACAGTGGTAGAGAAAAGTTCAATGAAATTATGACATATGACCTGATTGAATATTATGCAGCCACTAAAACAATAAGTATGAAAACAGAGGCTATATTAAAAAGTGATTAGTGGCCAGGTGCAGTGATTCACATCTGTAATCCCAGCTACTCTGGAGGGGGAGATCAGGAGGATTGTAGTTTGAGGCCAGTCCAGTCAAGAAAGTTAGCAAGATCTCCATTTGAACTAATAGCTGGGCATGGTGGTATGCTCCTATTGTCCCAGCTATGTGGGAAGCCACAGGTAGGAAAACTGCAGTCCAAGGTCAGCCCTGGGAAACAACTAAAGACCCTACCTGAAAAATAACTAAAGCAAAAAAAAAGGGTTGGGGGTGTGGCTCAAGTGGTAAAGTGCCTGCCTAGCAAGCTTGAGGCCCTGAGTTCAAACCCCAGTATTGCCAAAAATAAGAAAAAGTGATTGTAATACCCTATTAAATGAAAAATAAAGCCAGGTATGGTGACATGCACCTGTAGTCCCAGCACTTGGGAGACTGAGTTTGGAAGAGCCCAGGAGTTTGAGGCTAACCTCAACATAGACTCCATCAAAATAATAATAATAATAAGCAAATGGAACTTAAAATTCCTATATTTAAAAAGAAAGCAGAATAAGTTTCCCTGAGTATAACTTAAAAGCAGACAATAGTATAAGAAGAGTATTTGTTACACAGTATTATAAAGCCTTAGCATACCTCACCCCCAATTGGTCTATAAATGAATCCTTCTAATAATTAGAAACAAGTGTAGCCGCATATAATAAAAACCTTAAAAGTGGTCTCATTATTTTACCCAATAATTTTATGTTTAGAAAATTTTTAATAGTAGTTACATGCTAAAAAAACTTGTGACTATAGCAAAAAATCAAAGTGTATTCTAAAAATTGAACAATTTTTTATTTATATTTTTCTATTTTAAAAAATAACATTTTTATAGTACCAAAGCAGTTAAAAGTAACAATTCTCTCTTCAAATTAAAGTATTAAATAATTAACTACTTATTGTGATGGTGGAAAGTTGACTTTGTTGAAGTTTTGTATAAATTTCTTCATTTATTTTGGAGTTCAGAGGGAGAAAACAAAATTTAGTTCTTACAAAGTATATTTTCTTCTCAGAAATTCTGCAGTAGAGACTGTAGAACAAGAGCTTCTTTTTGTCGGGTCTGAGACTGGAAAACTTCTGGCCGTGAGAGAACTTGTTAAAAAGGTATATTGGACTACATTCTTGAATTGTGATAAAATTCACCAAGATTATATTACCGGTGGGAGACTCAGTACTGTTATCATCATTATCCTGCATCGTATTTAATGGTCCATTGGCAATAAGGCTTAGAGTAGGCTAGGAGAAGATCTACCTGATGGCCTGAAAAGCCTCATTTTCCACATGTGCATATATAATATATATGTCTACTTCATCCCCTCATCCCTCATTTGTTTTTTGGGTTTTTTTGTTTTGTTTTGTTTTGTTTTTGTTTTAATCCTTTAAGTAAGTACTGAGTGAAGCCATAGTTAAAAAGTTAAGTACTGGAGAGTCACAGTAGGGAACAAAATGTAAATCCTAAACTCTGCCCTTGAGATTTAGTCTTCTTCCCACCCCTTTTCTGGGATTTGAACTCAGGACCTTCACCTTGAGCCACTCCATCAGCCCTTTTTTGTGATGGGTGTTTTCAAGGTAGGGTCTCTTGAACTATTTGCCGAGCTGGCTTCAAACCTAGATCCTCCTGATCTCTGCCTCCTGAGTAGCTAGGATTACAGGCATGAGTCACTGGTGCCAGCCTTTGTCTTATTTATGGCATAACATGAATATAGGTGACAGCCTTAGTGGTGGAGCATTCAGAGTAGCTGAAAAAGATAAGAGAAGGATGTTTGTAAGTTAACCTGGTAACTAGAAATAATATGCTCTAGAAATTAAGAGCATGGACTCTTGATCCAGACTACCTGGATTGAAATTCTATCTCTACCATTCTACTTTTGAACAACTTAACCCCCTCTTTTCTCCATGTATATTTATCTATTAAGTGAGAACATATCTACATCATAGAGGCTGGGGATGTGGCTTAAGTGGTAGATTGCTTGACTAGCAAGCACGAGGCCCTGGGTTCAAACCATACCACCAAAAAAAAAAAAATCTACCTTACAGAGCTGTTTTAGTATTTGAATTAATACAAACATAGTACTTATAATAATACTTGACATATAACAAATGATCATGTATTCATTTTATTAATATTCTTAAAGATATCATTTGCCATTAGGAAATTTAACATTTTTGTGGATATTCACATGGAGATAATATACTAGAGATTTTTAGTATGTATGAGCTTTGAGAAGTCTGCATTCCTGTAAAACTATATGTACGACTTTGAGCAAATGAATGGTTACCTGTTAGATTCCAGTAGGGGTTTGTAAACCAAAATAAAAAGGCTAAGAAGCCCTGATAGGAAGCTAATCCAAGAGAGAAGCAGGGTTTGAAGGTACAGATGTAAAAATTTGCTTAGAGCTATTAGTAGATAAATGAAATTTTTACTTATAAACGTTATAAACAGAATCAAAGTTCTGGGGCATATAAACCAAAAGATGATTGTTTCAGAGAGGACACCTATTATCGTAGGAAAGCAAAGAGGGATTGATGATTTGTTATAATTAGCAAGATGAGAACACAGTTCTAGTAGAAATAACCCACTGTAGAAAATGGTAGTGAAGAAGATGGAGGTTACATTTAGACCACTAGGTCAAGATATGTGGCAATGAAAGTACACTAAATTGAATTGGGGTTCTTTTGTGAACTAAAGCCATTATGAAATACTGATTGATTGTATTCTTATAAGTTACTTGTGCAAATTTTTGCCTTCTTTGTTTTAGGGTTTCAGTCCACCTGTTCTTGTTTTTGTTCAGTCCATTGAAAGGGCTAAAGAACTTTTTCATGAGCTTATATATGAAGGTATTAATGTAGATGTTATTCATGCGGAAAGAACACAGCAACAGGTAAAGACAAATGTATACTTTCAAAGCATGAGGAACCACTTAATTTTAAAATACTGGCATTAAATTTATGAAATACCTATTTTCCATTCCTAGAGTGGTACTAAAGCATTTATTATATGTTCTCTTACACAGAGAGATAACACAGTCCACAGCTTCAGAGCAGGAAAAATTTGGGTTCTTATTTGTACAGCCTTGCTTGCAAGAGGCATTGATTTTAAAGGTGTGAACTTGGTGATTAATTACGACTTTCCAACCAGCTCAGTGGAATATATCCACAGAATAGGTGAGTTGTCTTTTTTTTCTTTTCCTTCTGTGCCCCACTCATATATCTTAGTACCATTACTGTTCCCTTTAGACATTCTCCTTTTTTAGTGGGTTTTTTTTTCCCCCCAGACATTTTAGTGGAAATCCAGTGACTTTTAATGTGAATCTTGAGAGAATCTTTCCCCTCAAAAGTGTTTTTTATGGTCTGATTTCTCTTAGGTCGAACTGGAAGAGCAGGGCATAAAGGAAAAGCTGTTACATTTTTTACTGAAGATGATAAACCATTATTAAGAAGGTAAATTAGGGTCTGGGGAGTTGGAAGAATGCTTGCTTAAGCATGTGCAAGGCCCTGGGTTTGATTCCTGGTACTACCAAAAAAAACCAAAGTAAATTCGGAAAAATAACTTAGTAGTCGGCAAAATTGCTTCATTATTTTTGTATGTATAGTATGTTAATAGATAATTACAAATAAATATGTTCCAAATTATAATAGTCAACTAAATTTGAGCCATGAGACCAGGAAAAAAATGATCAAAGGGCCTTGTTTTTTTGCCCTTCCATTAGAATTTGGAAATATTCCAAATGAGGGCTGGCGGAGTGGCTTAAGGTAAAGGTCCCGAGCTCAATCCCCAGTATCGGAAAAAAAAAATGAAATGTGTGGGAAATACTCCAAATGAAATATTCATTTTAAGTTTCAGACTCACAGGACTCATTTAGCCAGCTATCAATAGGTGTTGCTTACATTATAATTTAAGATTTTTGAATTAATGAATAGTTTATAAGTCTCTTCAGGCCAGTCAACATTCTCTTTTACCATGGTGCTTCCCTTCCACTATTCCAGCCAGATTGTGTTTTATATTTAGCCCCAGGATCACCTGCCATATAGGAAAAAGTATTTTAGCAACACATTCCAATATTACTCAATCGTAGCCTTTGAAGCTTGGGTAACAACATACTTTTAGATTTCAGGTCTTCATTCATTTAGCCATTCATCATAGGAGAGATAAGAGACAGGATCTTTCTGTGTAGCCCAAGCTTACCTTGAACTCTTGATCCTTTTGCCTTAGCTTTCCAAGTGTTATTATTACAGGTGTGCACCACCACACCTGGTACCATCACCATCACATTCGTGGTTTTTTTTTTTTTTTTTTTTTTTTTGAGTGAAGTTCTCACTATGTAGCCTGAGCTGACCTCAAATTTAGAATCCTCCTGCCTCAGCCTCCCCAGTGCTGGGATTATAGACTTTTGCCAACACTCATGGCTATAGGTTAATATAGTTTTCCTGCATTTTGTCTGCCTCCAGTAATTTTTGGTTAAGAATAATGATAACATTTCACTTTTTTTTTTTTTTTTTGGCAGTTCTGGGGTTTGAACTCAGGGCTTCACACTTGCTAGGCAGGCACTCTACCACTTGAACCACTCCACCAGCCCAATATTTCACATTTCTAACAAATGAAATTTAGTTATGGCCAAAGAGGTTACGTTGATATGAGTTCTGGTAAAGATTTTGATTTGTGCCTTCTAAGCTTCTACTCTGCCAGCCTTTGAATTGCTTTGAGCATTGTGTATATGCATTATAGGTAATATTCCAGCATCCTAGATCAACGTAAGATCCCATTATCACCTCAAGCATGTGACTCTGATGCCCATAAGTATAACTGCACCTTAGTTTTCCATCTCTGAAGTGAGGATAATGATAAATATTATTACTACCCACATAGGGTTGTTATGAGGAGTGAATAAGTTACTATACATGAGAAATTTAAAATAATGCCACCCCCATAGTAAGAACTATAACTTAACAAAATTAAGCTTGACTCTGGCTTCATAGTATTTCCTCAAAGATTAGGCTTAGTAACTTTTTAGGGCTTGATTAATGTTGAAATAGCTATCCAAAGTTATTCATCAATACATTGATTTCAGTCTAGTGGATAGTTCTTTCAGAAAGCTGGCATGGTTACATCTGGAGATAACTGGTAATAACATCAGACTACTATACTAGAGTACTTTGTATAGTTTTAGTTCCTCTTATGTCATGCAGAGGGTGTATGTATATCAGTTTAACAAGAAACAAGTTTATGTTTATGTGTTCCTTTTCAGTGTTGCCAATGTCATACAGCAGGCTGGATGTCCTGTACCTGGATACATAAAAGGTTTCCAAAAATTGCTAAGGTATAGTCTTAAATTTACCAGAGCTTTTTTCTGTCTCTTTGCACATTTTTTGTTTTATTTTGCTTTCTTGCTTTTTCCTTTTTTGTTTTATTTTGTTTTCTTGCCTTTTATAAGTATACATCCCAAGATAGTACGTTGGTTAGTTTTGCATGTTTTTGGTTTTATATACAGATGGTTCTTGACTTATGATAGGGCCGTATCCTGTAAAACCCATTGTACATTGAAAATATTGTAAGTGGAAAGTGCATTTAAATACTCCTACCCTACTGAACATTGTAACTTACTCTACAGTATACTGTAGAGCAACAGTTGTTTGCCTCTTGATTGAGTGATTCTCTGGGAGCTTTGATTCCCTGCTGCTGGCCAGTATTGTGAGAGAGTATTATAACACATGTTGCTGGGAAAAAATCAAAATTCAAGGTATAGTTTCTACTGAGTGCTATCACCCTGAAGTTGAAAAATAGTCACCCTGGGCAAAAAATAGTCATCCCATGCATAGTGGCTCACTAGTAATCCTAGTACTTGGGGAGGCAGAGCTTGGGAGATTGTGGTTCATGGCCAGTCTGGGCAAAAGTTAGGGAGACCCTATCCCAACCAATAAGCTGGGTGTGGTGGTGTACCTCTGTCATCCCAGCTACTTGGGAGGCTTAAATAGGGCTGTGGTACAGAATGAACCCTGGCAAGAACAGGAGACTGTGAAAAATAACTACAGGACAAAAGGATGGAATAGTGACTTGAGTGGTAGAGTCCCTTGCTAGCAAATGTGAGGCCCTGAGTTCAAATCGCAGTATCAAAAAAAAAATTAAAAACTAAGGTTGAAAAATTCTAAATTGACCTCTTATGGTTGAAAATTGTCTATAAATGGTAACAAACTTGATATGGTCTTTTTTTGTTTTCTATTCTTGCCTAACATTTAGGTTTTTTTGTGCACAGTTCAGTGGTATTAAATACATTCATTATGTTATCACCACCATTCATCTCCAGAACTCTTTTTCACTTGTTAAAACTGCAACTTTGTACCCATTAAGCAACAATTCTCCATCTTCCCCTATCCCTAGGTCCGTGCAACCACCGTTTTACTCACTAGTAGAAGTGGAATCATACAGTTTTCGTAATTGACTTATTTCACTTTAGCATAATGTCCTCAAAGACAACTTGGGTTGTAGTATAATCAGAATTCCCTTTAATTGACTGTATAGGGCTCCCATTCTGTACGTATCCCACACCTCATTTTTCTGTCATCTGTTGATGGACACTTAGGCTGCTTCTACATTTTAACTGTTGTGAACATGAGTGTACATGTATTGTCTTCACAACCCTGCTTTCATACACTCAATTTTAAATTCTTTTTTACACACTGTAGTTCTAACAATAATCATACTTATAGAGCATTTTATGATAAAAATATTTTGCTTGTAAAATATTTGTGAATGCTGCATTTTCTTGCCAGTTTTTTCATCCTTAAAATTTTAAGTGTTCAGATTTTAATAGCTTGTTCACTGTGTGTGAAATAGACTTACTTTAGATCATTACATAGTAAAACAGTTAACCAAACCAAGATCAGGGCCTAATGCTTACTGACACAGGATATAAGGTTGCCGTAGGACATATTTTAATCACAGTCAGTGTCTTTTTTTTTTTTTTTTTAATTTTTTAATTTTTGGCGTTGCTGGGGTTTAAACTCAGGGCCTCATGCTTGCTAGGCAGGCACTCTACACTTCAGCCACACACCCCCAGACCTTTTTGCTTTTTGTTATTTTGGGGATAGTGTCTTGTGTTTATGCTCAGGTAGGCCTGCACCAGGATCCTCCTATTTATGCTTTCCTCATAGCTGAAATAATAGATGTGTGCCACCACATCCGTCTCTTCCTGGGCTGATCTTGAACCACAGTCCTCCCAATCTCTGCCTTCTGAGTAGCTAGGATTATAGGTGTGAGCCACTGTACCTAGCTAGCTAGTGCCTCTTTAAAAAAAGTGATTAACCAGCGGTTGGGAGGCTGAAGTAGGAGAATCACAAGTTCCAAGCTAGCCTGGGCTAAACCCTGTCTTTAAAAAAAAAAAACATTGATTGAATTTATTATTCCTTTGGGGTAGTTCTAAAAGTGCTATTAGGTATTGAGTTTGTTAAAGTCAATACAGCCTCACTTTAAATCTGCTAGTGCTTTACAGATGAATTTTATGATTATGAATCAAAACTAATTTTAGCTTTAGCTTTTCTAAATAAAGTTGTACTTAAATTAATTTATTTTCTCTCTTACTTTGTAACTTTCAGCAAACAAAAGAAAAAAATGATTAAGAAACCACTGGAAAGGGAGAGTATTAGTACAACTCCAAAATATTTCTTAGAGCAAGCTAAAGCTAAGCAGTAAGTATACATATATGATAAGAAAAGTTGCTATTGACTATCAAATTGTTATGACTGACATTATTTTTCCTTAGGATACATTTTAAGAAGTAGAATTAGTAGGTCTACAGATCATTATAGAATGTGATAAAAATAATATCATAAGTTGCCTATGATTTGGCAACTTGAATAATTTAATCTTGGAATTTTTCTGTATTTGTGTATTAATCATCTAAGGTGTTTCCATATTTGAAAATATAGCTTCAATTCTCTATGAATTAGAATTGCATTGCCCATAATCTCCACACAGTCTGAAGCAGGGCATGCTACTGAAGTCAATAATTAGGACCAGTGCCTTACAGTGATTGAGTTTTCTTGAGGATTCCTATATAGGGTTTCAGTATAATCTTAGACTTATGCTGAAACACACTGTAACCTTTAAAAAGCATTACTTGGGTAAATATGTAGTACCTTAGCCTATTTTCTTGAGGATTTTAAAGCATAGACCTTATAAAATATATACCAGTCCAACTTACTTTGTTCAGTGGTGCTAGGGAGCTGCATATTTTGTAGGGATAGGCCAAAATAGTCTGGATTGAACTACTCTTTCCATTATTTAAGAAAAATGGCACTCTTTACTAGATTAATGTATATTCCAATAGAATCAATCATTCAGTTTTAATAATTTATTTTGTGTGTGTACTACTTTTGTGAAAGTCATTAGAAAAAACTTTTCCATTAACCAGTAGACATTTACTGAGTTGTCCTACAAGGTACTTGGTTCTGATAAGATATTCAAATAAAAACAAGTCACCTACCCTGAAGTTTGAAAAGAGGTTAGTATACATGAAAAAAAATTAGAGAATGATTTTAAACCAAATACGAATTTAGAGAAGGGGAAAGTCATTATGGATTAGTGTAGTTATAAAAAGTTTCAAAGAGATGTAATTGTCTTTAAGAATAGATAAAATTTAGGGATATAGAAGGAACAAGGTGAACAAAGGCACGAAACCTGCCTTTGTAAGTGGAGCAAGAATCTTACATTTTGGTACTGACTATGGGAAATGGAAATAACATTTAGTTCAAGTATAGGCAGTGTATAGCGTGTCCCATAATTTTGGTGTACTTTTAAGATATGGGGGAAGAATAAATGTTACAAACTTACAAAATACTATTTGAAAGAGCAATCATTTTAATTCCATTCATACTTAGTTTTGTGATTTTTTTTTTTTTTTGGTAGTACTGGGACTTAAACTTAGCCTCTTGAGCTGTGCTTCTCTGTTCTGTGAATTCTTTCCTTTTTTTTTAAATATATTTCTTTTATTAGTGTTATGATGGGGATACATTGTGACATTTACAAAAGTTCTTACAATGTATCAGTTCAGTTTACCCCCTTGTTTTGTGAATTCTGAATATATTACTTGTTTTAATTTTTATGGCAACAGTTTTGGGGTGACAATTAGACCAGTGACAGGGGCAGGATATGTGGGGAAGGGAGTGTCAAAACCAGAACCTTATTCTTTGAATGTGATCTTACAAAGGCTAAATACTAGCATAATAAGATGTTTATGTTGAATTTTAATAAGATCCATCAGTGTTTTAATTAGCCAACACTTTAAAATATTTTTATGTTTGTAGGACTCATATGTCTGGGGTTATTAAACTTAGCTGCATGAGATTTTGAAGGCACTAGCATAAATCTTGTCATATCAACCTCCCACTTAAGACTTTTGTTTTCTTTCCATTTTCTTCACATTTAAAGATCATATTTCTTTTTTTTTTTTTTTTAATTTTTATTTTTTTATTTTTCATATGTGCATACAATGCTTGGGTCATTTCTCCCCCCTGTCCCCACCCCCTCCCTAACCATGCACTCTGCTCCCTCCCTCTCCCCTCCCCACCCCCTCAGTAAGCAGCAGAAACTATTTTGCCCTTATTTCTAATTTTGTTGTAGAGAGAGTATAAGCAATAATAGGAAGGAACAAGGGTTTTTGCTAGTTGAGATAAGGATAGCTATACAGGGAGTTGACTCACATTGATTTCCTGTGCATGTATGTTACCTTCTAGGTTAATTCTTTTTGATCTAACCTTTTCTCTAGTTCCTGGTCCCCTTCTCCTATTGGCCTCAGTTGCTTTTAAGGTATCTGCTTTAGTTTCTCTGAGTTGAGGGCAACAAATGCTAGCCAATTTTTTAGGTGTCTTACCTATCCTCATATCTCCCTTGTGTGCACTCGCTTTTATCTTGTGATCAAAGTTCAATCCCCTTGTTGTGTTTGCCCTTGATCTAATGTCCGCATATGAGGGAGAACATACGATTTTTGGTCTTTTGGGCCAGGCTAACCTCACTCAGAATGATGTTCTCCAATTCCATCCATTTACCAGCGAATGATAACATTTCATTCTTCTTCATGGCTGCATAAAATTCCATTGTGTATAGATACCACATTTTCTTAATCCATTCGTCAGTAGTGGGGCATCTTGGCTGTTTCCATAACTTGGCTATTGTGAATAGTGCCGCAATAAACATGGGTGTGCAGGTGCCTCTGGAGTAACCTGTGTCACAGTCTTTTGGGTATATCCCCAAGAGTGGTATTGCTGGATCAAATGGTAGATCAATGTTTAGCTTTTTAAGTAGCCTCCAAATTTTTTTCCAGAGTGGTTGTACTAGTTTACATTCCCACCAACAGTGTAAGAGGGTTCCTTTTTCCCCACATCCTCACCAACACCTGTTGGTGGTGGTGTTGCTAATGATGGCTATTCTAACAGGGGTGAGGTGGAATCTTAGTGTGGTTTTAATTTGCATTTCCTTTATTGCTAGAGATGGTGAGCATTTTTTCATGTGTTTTTTGGCCATTTGAATTTCTTCTTTTGAGAAAGTTCTGTTTAGTTCACTTGCCCATTTCTTTATTGGTTTATTAGTTTTGGAGAATTTAGTTTTTTAAGTTCCCTATATATTCTGGTTATCAGTCCTTTGTCTGATGTGTAGCTGGCAAATATCTTCTCCCACTCTGTGGGTGTTCTCTTCAGTTTAGAGACCATTTCTTTTGATGAGCAGAAGCTTTTTAGTTTTATGAAGTCCCATTTATCTATGCTGTCTCTTAGTTGCTGTGCTGCTGGGGTTCCATTGAGAAAGTTCTTACCTATACCTACTAACTCCAGAGTATTTCCTACTCTTTCCTGTATCAACTTTAGAGTTTGTGGTCTGATATTAAGATCCTTGATCCATTTTGAGTTAATGTTGGTATAGGGTGATATACATGGATCTTGTTTCAGTTTTTTGCAGACTGCTAACCAGTTTTCCCAGCAGTTTTTGTTGAAGAGGTTGCTTTTTCTCCATTGTATATTTTTAGTGCCTTTGTCAAAGACAAGTTGGTTATAGTTGTGTGGCTTCATATCTGGGTCCTCTATTCTGTTCCACTGGTCTTCATGTCTGTTTTTGTGCCAGTACCATGCTGTTTTTATTGTTACTGCTTTGTAATATAGTTTGTAGTCAGGTGTCGTGATACCTCCAGCATTGTTCTTTTGACTGAGTATTGCCTTGGCTATTCGTGGCCTCTTGTGTTTCCATATAAATTTAAAACAGTAGATTTTTCAATCTCTTTAATGAATGTCATTGGAATTTTGATGGGAATTGCATTAAACATGTAGATTACTTTGGGGAGTATCGACATTTTTACTATGTTGATTCTACCAATCCATGAGCATGGGAGATCTCTCCACTTTCTATAGTCTTCCTCAATCTCTTTCTTCAGAAGTTTATAGTTTTCCTTGTAGAGGTCGTTCACATCTTTTGTTAGGTTTACACCTAGGTATTTGATTTTTTTTGAGGCTGTTGTAAATGGAATTGTTTTCATACATTCTTTTTCAATTTGTTCATTATTAGTGTATAGTAAAGATCATATTTTTTAACATAACATACAAGCAAGACCCATCTTGATCTGATTCTAGTTTATCTCTCCACTATAAATATTCCTTTAATGATCCTGCCCATGCCTTTGGCTTCCATGCATCACTCTGTTCATAACTCTTCAGCTCATATCTTCAGCCCAGCTTCCTTACTGAGCTACAAGTCTTAAATCCCTGTTGCCTAGTGGACCTCACTTGAAGTGTTATGAACTCAACCAGAGAACAGATTGATTCCCACTTTCCTGTATGACTTTGGGCAACTCACTTCACTGCTCTTAAGTTTCTTTCCCCTTATATATAATAGAAATATTTATGTAAATAGTACAAATTCTACTGCTCAGGGTTGGTGGGTTGGCATATTCACTGAGTTAATACATACCAAAGAACTTTGTATTATTATAATTAGTATACAAACTTTGATTATTTGCTTGAAAATTTTTCCTTTTTCTGGTTACCATTAGACTCAGACTTTCAGGTTTCATGTCTGACATTTACTAGCATGTGGTGATTGTCAAGTTACTTACCCACTCTATATCTCACTTTCTTAATCTGTAAAATGAGCATAATAATAGAATCTTGTTAGCAAGATTACCTGAGTTAATGTATGTAAAATACAACAGCGTCTAGTACTTAATAAGCATTGAACCATGGCAAATTTTTATTATTAGATCAGAATCTGTCTTTTTTACTATGAGTAATGTAGTTTATTGTGATGGTTGTCTAATGTAGGTGACAGTGATTTTTCTAAAGGGCAGAGATCATATTTAATGTGTCTTTGTGTTCTTCGTGTCTTGTATGTTTTGATACATGGTAGTTTCAACAAATGTTTATTAAGCCCACAGAGTAACAGAAACACAATAACTAAAACTAGAATTTCTAACCTAATATTTCTTCCCTTCTTTATAGGAAAAAGGCCACTCGCCAGAGCAGCAAGAAGAAGGTAACCCTTGAAGGCAAAAGTTAAAAACAAATTTTAAAAAAAGAAAATGTAATTTTATGATACCATGATATCAGCATGAACGTTGTTTTCATGGAATACTTCAAGTGTTACAATCACCGCTACCAAACATCTGAAATCAACTACAAATACATGAGTCTGGGGAAAAATAATCGCTAAGCTATCAATGCATCATGTCACATTTCAATTCATATGTGAAAATTATATAATGGAAATATCATTGACATTTCTGTGGTTTGAATCTAGAGACATACTTCTTATAGAAGAACAAATGCTTATGGTAAAAGTAACAACACCCAAATGTGGTGAACTCTTAAGGAATTTTCCCTTCAAGTGTGAAGGAAAGTGTGATGTATGTTGTGGAGAGGCATCTAGAACAGAATTTTAAAATGTTGAGATTGAATACCCCTTCTCACATTGAATACCCCTTTCCTCACATTTGTTTTGGCGGGGGAGGGGTAGATAAGGAGTAGCGCATGTAGTCTATCAAGAAGAAATAAATTCTCTTTAATATTTCTTAATTTGTTAAAGTCTTTTGTGGTGTTAGCCACAATAAAGGAGTATCTCTTCTATGTCTTGTTATTCAAGTTCCCTAGGATTTTAAATTTTGTGGTCTGTTTAAGTTATCCTTGTGTCTCGTTGGGAAGGTAGGTCATATGTAGCTGTCATGATGTTGCAACCACAGATTATGATCAGGCTCTTCCTTTCTTAACTTCATTCCCTATCATGTAACTATATTCTTTCCTGTCTCTCCATTCAAGATGATTTTTGCTCGAAAACTGATAACAGTGTTTTATCCTGAGAAGGAAGAATGTTCCTATTACTTGATACACCTGGCTTCATTCTCTTCTAGCTTATCTTTCCTGAGGCTTGATGGCTTTGATCCATTAGTGGATCTCTGTAATTAAGTGGGTCTCTGCCAAAGTAAAGGATTATGATCATATGGTGAGTAAGGCTACTTACTCTGAGCAGTGTTCTCAATTACTAGTTTTGTGCAGTGGAATAAAAAAGACTTCATACAAGTAAAGCACTTAGAGTGGTGCCTTAGGATGACATGATTACTATGAGTACTAACACAATACTATGTAATGTACATAACTTTTCTTAGCAGCTTTTGAATTAAACTTACTTCCTTTACTCTCATCCTTTCATTCTAGAATCAGCACAGGTAGATTCCATCTTGAATTTAACTGGGACCTTTTGCTACACAGTATAATGTTTATAAGTATGTGATTTTTAAATTGTGAACAAATCCTGATTCAGTATATATTCTGGAGGTGGGTGTAATGGTGCAACTCATGTCAGCTATGTGAGTTTGAGTAAGTTCTTTAATTTCTTAGAGCTTTGTTTTTTTATATATGAAATTGTACATGTCTTAAGATTGGAGATACCTAGCACTGCCTAAAACAGTAAGCTCACAACAAATATTCCTTCAACAAACATTAAAAAATTTTTCTTTTTTTTTTTAGGAATACAAGGCTTAAATAACACAGTCCCTGCCCTTACAATTAATGGTAGAGATAAAGTGAAGGAACAAATAGTGTGATGGCAAATTCTCTGTTAGATGTAAGGCCATGATGCTTAAACATCACAGGAGTGCATCTAACTGAGATGAAGGTATTTTGGAAGGCTGACATCCTGAGTTGAGACCTGCATGTGTAGAAATCAATAAGCAAGCAAGAATAATATATTCCAGGTACAAACAGAGCACTTCTACAATACTTGTTACACTTTATTTTCTCTTAAGTATTTTCTCCTCTGCAGCTACCTAATCCATGAAGTGTCTATAAAACATTTATCAACTTGGTTTGCCAATGCATTAATATACTGAATTTAAACTTCTTTATAGTTGGAACTTCCTGCTACCTAAATTCCAGCTTTGCCCAGAGAAGAAGAGGAATGAAGAATCAGTGAATAGACAAGAGAAAAGCTCAGTTGCCCACACATGTAATCCTAGTTACTCGGGAGGTAGAACTGAATTTGAGGTCAGCTGGAACAAAAAGCTATCCCCCATCTTACCCAAAAAATAACTAAAGCAGGCTGGGGGCATGGCTCAAGTGGTAAAGAGCCTGCCTAGCAAGCACAAGGCCCTGAATTCAAGCACCAGTACCACACCAAAGGAGGGGGCAGGGGGAAACACAACACATAAATAGCTGGTATTGGTAAAAGAAGGAAGGGTCAGTTTGGAATCAAACTGACCTGGATCTGAATCCAGGTCCTACTGCTTGTAGTTGCATGATCTGGGCATGAACTTCTTTTAAATACCAGTGCAATTTCTTAGCAATTCTGGATTTTTAAATGCACATTAAGTTTCTGACCAGAGATAGCATTACAATAACTGCTAAGTTATTACAAATTGTTTCTCAGTAAAAGTCACAAGGCAAGAGTGGAGGAAAAGACTAATTATAATTAATCCATTACTTGAGGGCTTGAAAAACTTCACACTTGACCTTCATATGTTTCTCTCAGGTAATAGCTTGATTATAAAAAAAAAAAATCAAGTAAAAGCATAGGATTTTTACATAGATAGGTTTAGATGGATTATGCATGCTCTCTTACACCAGTTTTGTTCCTGCCTGTAAAGATAGGAAAAATGAACACAAAGTACATCAACTTAAATATTAATAACAAATCAGGACTGAAAAATAGACGCAGTGTGTGTGGAGGCGGGAGAGGTGAAGGAAGGAGATGAAGGTGAGGGTATATGGTAGATGGACTTCGAATACCTCTGTGAACGAAATAACCTCTTGCAATTGCTTTAAGTAGGGTGGGGAGGGGGCTGAGGGGGAGACACGATGGGGGCACTGTAAATGTACAGTATAAATCTAATCAGAATTGTCACTATGAGTCTCCCCCGTATAATGAATATACCTTTAAAAATTTATAATAACAAAAAACAAAGTGGCATAATGGCAAACAGGAATAATGTATGTTGGAGGTTTTTTTGTGTATTGGGTTTATGTGCTCTTAGTTGGTTTACTAAACTAAAGTTTAAACACCTTTAGCGTCTGAGATACATGCGAAAAAGCAGCAGTATAGTATCAGGGAAAGAATAAAGAGAGTTAATTACTAACCAGCGCTGTGAAGCTATCAAAAGAGCCATACAGGGCCTATCTACTCGATGTGTGAAAGTACCCATCATCCAGTTTCAAAATTAGTATTCAATTTATTGTTAACACTGAGATGTGCGTTTGCAAAGGAATGGCACATCGCCATTCCGCCACCAGCTGGGCCTTCCGGCCGCCTCGCCAAAAAGTGAGTCAGCTCGCTCTGAGGACCAGCTCAGGAGACAGCTTAGGACCTGGAGACCCCCCATTGCTGACGGGTCACGTGATGAGGGGTCACGTGGTCGTGCGGCCCCGCCCCCAGGCCCGGGCTGCGGCGAGGTGGGGCCCGGCGTTTGCCCCGGAAGTGCCTGCCTTCGTCCGACAGCTGCTGGCCCGGTGGCGCCGGTGGCGGTGGTGGCGGCGGCAGCGGGCCCGGAGCAAGATGGCGCTGCGACCGGGAACGGGAACTGGCGGCGGCGGGGCCGCGGGCGCCGGAGCGGGGGCCCCCGGGGGAGGCAGGTGGGTGCGAAGAGCAGGGTCGGAGCACCCGCATCTCCACCGCGGGGTCGACCTCGGCGGTTATGGCGGTTTTCGCGAATGCAGACCCTTTTCCTTTGAACTGGGTTATGGAAGAAGAGGCGTCCGTTCTCTACGGGGCCTCCGGAGGGGCCCGGGCGCCGGGCGCCTGTACTCCAAGCTCCGAGCCACCTGCTGCCTGGGTGGCAGGGCGGGAGCGGGCGGGAAGCGGCGCGGAGCCCGGCTTTCGGAAGCGGCGCGGCTTTCTGGGCTTGCCAAGGGTGTTGCAGGGGAGGTGTGGAAAACCTGCACACACAGTTCCCGAGATGGATGCGGGCCGCAGGGTTTGTCCTTTCTTCTTTTACAGTGCCCTGTCCTGTCTTTTCTGTTTTCTAAACGTGCGACAAACAGGAAAATCTGAAGACATTTGCATTAGTGATTGTCTTGTGATAGAGCTCTTGTCTTATAGACAGAGCTACAGTCTTACAAACTGTAAGATCTGTCTGCTTTTTAAAAAGGTATTGAAAAATATGGAGAATCACTGATGAACGGCAGTTATGCTTTTAATCCAACAAAGCTTCCGGATTTTTACTTAGCCCTTTAAAAAACAAAATCTGTCCTTCGTCATATAAACCTGTGGTTCTTATACCGAGAAGAATAATAGAGATGTATATTTGCAACTTGACAAGTTCATTATCATTTCTATAATCACTTCTATAGTCTGATTTTGTTTAATTAGTTAACATTCTGCACACACATTTGGAGGTAAAATTAGTTTAGTTTTGTTTTTTTTTTATCTTCAGTAACCTAAATTATCTTTGGATAAACAAAGTGTTAAGACATTTTTTAATGTGTAGCTTAATTTTGTTGGTTTTTTGGGGGGAGGAGGTGGTACTGGAGTTTAGAAGTTAGGACCTCTCACGCTTGCTAGACAGGCACTCTACCACTTGAGCCACTCCACCAGCCCCAAATTTTGGAGTCATGAACACTATAAAAATTTAAGATCTTAAAGTTGCCACCTTTTACAAGTGCTTATACACACTAGGACAAAAGAGCAGTCAGGTGAACCATCTGTGTGTGGCCCCATTTTTTATTTCCTCTACTCATCTTTTGACTTTAAATGTTTTGCTTCCTCCTTTGTTCTCTTCACTGTTTATTATTAAAGTTTTTCATGAACAGCTTGTTTAAATCAGTTTCTGGCTGCAGAAGAAAAATATGTAATATTTTTTATATAAGATGACAGTTTCTAAAATATTCCTGAGTGGCATTAATTTTATCAAGTATATGATTAATAATGTCACCACGTTATATCTTGTAGAAAGAGATAAACTTGAAAGTATTTGGTACTCTAGGCCCAAAATTTTATTTAATCTCTTTTAATTGGGTGGGAAGGACTTCAAACAGAAAATTGAGAGCACTAGTCACTTTGGTTTATAATGTTAAAACCATTGGTCCATTTAGATTTTTTTCTGAATATGGCCTGAATTTTGGGGAGAGGTTTTTTTTTTTTTTTTCTTTTCTTTTTTTGGTGCTAGGATCGAACCCAGGGTCTCACGCATGCTAGGAAAGCGCTGTACCACCGAGCTACATCCCAGCCCTATGGCCTAAATTTTGATAAAAATTAGAACCATTGATTTAAAATTTTCTCTATATAAATGTAATAGCATCTACATTCTCAAATTCAAGAGGATACTTGGGAGAGAAATGTGGTTTAAGTGAACCTTATTTTGAAAAGTTTTTGGTAAGTATGTTACATATATTGGGAACTTTGCGAGACTGAGAAACTGTACTTAATAAAGAAAGAATATTATGGTTTTTGAAAAGCAGTGGTAAGCACTGAGGTTGTTTTATAAGGAAACTAACATGGTACCCTAAGTATATTTTAGAAAACAGAAAAACAAGCAACCTCTCTAAGATTTTCTTGGTGGGTCTGGAATTTGAACCTAGGGCCTAGCACTTGCTAAGCAGGCACATACCCCTTGAGCCTTCTATAGTTATTTTTCAAATAGGTTGTGAATTTATGCCAGAGCCGCCTCAACTGCCATCCTTCTACTTATACTGCTTGTGTAGCTAGGATGACAGTTGTGAGCCACCATGTCCATCTTTTATTGGTTGAGATGGGGTCTTGCAAACTTTTTGCCAGAGCTGGCCTTGAACTGTAGTCCTCTGACCTCCACCTGGCAAGTAACTATCTTTGCTGGTTTTTTTGGGGGGTGGGAGGGGGAAGGACCAGGGTTTCGCTATTGCAAAGCAGGTGCTCTGCCGCTTAAACCATGCCTCCATTCCTCTTTCTAAGCTTTTTAATAGAGAAAATTCATGAACTAGAACTGATGATGTTTCTTAGATACTTCTCTCTTCTTAGATACTGTTTCTTAGATACTTAATTTTCATAAGAGACTCGGCAAAAACAATGACATTTTGCCACATTAATATTAGCCACCTTTTGATTAGGATCCTGAATGGGCCACCTTAGAATAAATGGTAGAGGTGTATAAAGAGCAGAATTTGCTCAAGAGATGAGAAAAATAATTTTTATAAAACCAAGTAAGACAGAAAAAAAGATGAAAGATCTAGATTCATCTGCAGGCATTCAATTGGTAGTTGTTCAGTATCTACATATGTAAGGCACTATGTTTTTATTTTTGTTTTGGGGTTTGTTTGTTTTTTTTTTTTTTCTCAGATGGAGGTCCCACTATATAGCCCAGGCTGGCCTGAACCTGAGACCCTCATCTCTCAGCCTCTTGAGTGCTGGAATTATAGGTATTCACCACCACACCCTGCTAAGGAACTGTTCTTAATGCTCTAATGAAGTCAAAAGATAATCCAACATATGGCCCCCATACTTGAAAAGTGTACAAAATAAGCAGTCTGTTTTTTCCTGCTCTGTTACCGGTTCTTTGAGGGCTTCCTAATCTTTTATCCTCCACTGCTTCTAGCCCATTCTGGCCCATTTAAAAATTCTATAAATATTTCTGGATCACACCTATCCTGAAAGCAAAGAAATTGTATTTCAGTGGGACCAATTGGAAAAAAAGGAAGGAGTCAAGAGATTGTCATAGAAGTGGGAAAGCCTAGCAAACATTGTAGGGAACAATGTACCTGCAGTGTCCCATTGACTGGTATTGATTTGAGAAAAGAGTTTTGTAAGATAAAACTGAAGAAAGAAAATTGTGCCAAAACTGGAGAAGGTTATGAGGCTAAACTAAAGGAATTTCAGTTTACAGGGGAATCATGACATAGTTTAAGCCCAGGTGTACATCTTCCTAAAACATCATTATTAAATGATCCATTTCACCTGTGTTTCATTAGAAACCAGAGTCAGCCTGTTGAGGTGGCTCAAGTCTGTATTCCCAGCTGTTTGGGGGTTGGAGATGGGGATTATCACAATTTAAGGCCACCCCAGGCAAAAACTAGTGAAACCCCATCTCCTCAATCATTAAACCAGTGTTTTGGTACTTGACTGTCATCCCAGCTATGTGCAAGGTCATAGGTAGTAGGATATAAACTAGACCCTATCTGGAAAATAAAGTGCTAAAGTAAAAGATGCTAGAGATGTGACTTAAGAGGTAGAGCACCTGCCAAGGAAGCGTGAGCCTCTGAGTGCAAAAAAAAAAAAAGAAAAAAAAGAAACCAGAGTCTAGAAGTGGAGCAATCAATTAGGAAGTTTTTATTTAGGAGTCCAGGTCTGACAAGTAAAGGCTGATAGCAAGTAGAGCTCACAGGTCAGCTTTCATACTGAGACTTCATCAACATGTGAATTAGTATTCAATACATGAGTTAACTTCAGAAGCTTTTACCCTTAAAGCCAGGTGCTGGTGGCTCACGCCTGTAGTCCTAGATACTCAGGAGGTAGAGATCAGGAGGATCTCGGTTTGAATCCAGCCCGGTTTGAGACTCTGTCTCAAAAATACTCAACACAAAAAAGGGCTGGTGGAGTGGCTCAAGTGGTAGAGCACCTGTCTAGCAACCATGAGTCCCTGAGTTCAAATCCCAGTACAATGGGGGAAAAAAAAGCTTTTGTCTTTGAAACCAAATTATTAAATACCTTGCTGCCCAGTTCTTTACTTTCACTATCTTACCAACATCTTACTTTGCTGCTTGACTAGTCAGTGTTTAAGCACGTTGATACTAGTTGTCTAAACATTTCAGAGTCATGTGAATGATACAAAGGCCATTAGGCAGTTTGAGTTGCTAAAGTTTTTACTAGAGTAAGTCATGTTCATCAGTAGTGTTCTTCATCTTGTTTTTGTTTTGAAGGTGCTGAGGATTGAACCCAGGACTTCGTGCTTATTAGGCAAGGGCTCTACCACTTGAGCTATACACCCAGCCCTATTTGTTTTATTTTTTAAGTAACATTTATACATTGCTAAGATGTATTTTTGTTTGTGTGGTTGTCTTAGTTGGAACCATGATAAATTTTCAGTTTTGTGTCCTTACTGTCAGAGGGGAAAGCAGAGTGGTGAAAGAGATTACACAGAGCTTCACAGTTACTTTATGACATAGATGGAAAAAAGAGGATGTAACTCAAGTTTCTAGTTCTTCTGAGCCACTAACCCATACTGGTAACTTTAATCTTTAAGGCTGATTTTGAAAAGTCATATCTTAGGATATCAGTAATAGCTTTAAAAAACAGAGTGCTGCTAAATTTACCTTTGATTTAAACTTTATATTCAAGGGCCGGATGTGGTGGTGCACACTTGTTTTCAGCTACCCTGGAGGCATAGTTGGGAGGACCACAGTCTGAGGCCAGCCCAGACAAAAAACCATAAGATCCTATGTGAAAAATTACTAAAAAGCAAAAAGTACTAGGGGCATTGCTCAAGTGGTAGAATTTAGAGTTCAAGTCTCAGTACGGCCCAAAAAAATAAAAAACAAACAAAAAACTTTTATCCTGTTTAACAGAGCTAGGCATGGTGGTACATACCTGTAGTTCTAGCTACTCAGGCTGAGGCAAGAAAATCATTTGAGCCCAGGAGTTCGAGGCCAGCTTGGACAAAATAGCA